CAACGAAAATTTAGTTGTTTAGTTGTTGCTGTTTCGGTTTCTGTTGCTGTTTCTGTTCTGTTTGCTGTGGCTCTTTATCGCCGCCATAAATATGGAGATTTTTCATTAGCGATTTCCGTTTCCGATTTATCTTAATGGCCAGCTGGCTGTTGTTGTTTTGGTTGTTGTAATTAAGAAGAGCTACCGTTTGATGCTTTGGCAAAACATTTATATTGCAGCAAGCTGAAACCACCGAGCCTCCAACCACCAAACCGGCAAACCACCATACAAACCACGACGGACATGGCTCCGAAGAAGAGCTTCGTGTGTGGTCTTTTATCAGGCTTTTGGCCAATGAAAGCGGCTATTAAGTCTTGGCCAGCCAACTGGCAACTTGGGTGGCAACATGCCATTCACCAATCACACATACACAGAGACACGGAGAAAAAATGCATAATTTTGCATTATTATCATTTTTATTCCTCAATTTAAATCTTAATTTATTTTCTTTACAAACTATGTTGTTTTATGTTTTTTAGTTGTTATAATAAAATGAAAAATTATCTTACATCCTTAGAGATTTTAACTTCAATACGATTGTAAAATAAATTATTTAAGGAACAAGTTTGACTTACAGAGAATTCGATTTATTAAGGAAGGAGTTCTAAATGTATATATTTTCAAAATTTCTTAACTCGTGTTTTTGCAAGTAAGTGAATTTAAGAAAATAGGTATTATATTTTCCAAAAACTTAGTAATATGACTCATATTATATGAGCAATTTGTAATTTTCATTACTTAACATCCATTTTTCATTATTGGTCGGTTGCTTAAAATTATTTTTTTTACAATATCATAACCTTAATACATTTATGATTTTATACGATGATATCATAACCTGTCACTGATAGCGAAAAAATCATATTTCTAGTGATTTTATTTCTCAGTGTAGTCCCGTCTGTCGGCGGCGCCGCACAAAAAAGAAAGCGCGTGCAACGGGCAAAAAAAACCCAACCGACCGGAACTTCAACTGGCGCTATATGCAATTATACGACTCCGACTGTTTCTGTGTCTGCGGCAAACAGTAGCAGCATTTGCCTTTTGCCAAAGATTGACAGCAGAAACTAAGCTTGGGATGGAGACGCCGAGACCACCGTGAAGTCCGAATGCCTCCGATGTCTGGGGGATACACAGATATGTATATATACGTGTGTATTCCCGATCTGAGATGCTCCCAGTTGCTTGTCGCCACGCCGTTGCGTTATATTGTCAAAAGTAACATGTTGCTGCTGTTGCCTGTGTTGTTGCTGCTGTTGCTCCCCTTTTGTTACGCCTGCAACTTGCAACTTGCATCTTGTTTTTTGATCTCGGCGCTGTAAATTACACGCCCAGCAGCCGCAAACAATTGCTGTTGGTTGTTCGGTGTTCCCAGTGATGGTGATGCAAATTATTGCTATCTATCTTGCTGTCAACAACACAATAATTGTTGCCAACATTTGATGCTGCTGCCGTTCCTTGTCATAATTTTATTGCTGCCGCCGGGCAAGTTCTAAGTTGGTTGGGCCAATTACAGTGGGGCACAGTTTTAAGGAACGAGAGAAACCAAGAAATCTTCAAACTACTGAACTATCTTTCATATAAGTGTAAATTTAATTCTATTTTATTTCGCATTTCCTTTTGTAAGTTGAAACAAAGGTTTTTCTTTGGTACTTAAAAAAAAATGCACACTTTCAAAATGAAAATAAACATTATTAGGTATCAGTTAAAGCAAATTAAAAAATTTTGAAATATTTTAAAAATTATATTAAATTTAAAACATGAAATAATATATAATATTATAATATTCGTAGATATTTTGATCAGTTATTTTTGATAATTTTCCAAATGCTAATAAATTGTAGGTACACCTAAATTAAAATTAGTAATACTTGAATTGTGATTTTATTTTAAGAATTTAAATATTCAGTTTTTTGTGATAACAAGGAACAAGTGAACAAAAAAATTTAATCTTTTGAGGGTATATTATTGCCCAATTTTTTGCTGATGAATGTAAGCTTAGTCTCAAAACCCATTCGCATAGCCAAGCCCAACCCAAAATAAGAGTATAATTTCGCTTTCCTCGGAACGATAATAAAAAGTCAAGCTTTACGAACTTTTTGCGCACTAGGATCGTCGGGTTCCTAGAAAACCGAAAATGCCGAATCGCGGCATAAAGACAGGGGCAAATAATGCCCCACGATCGGGGACCACACACACACACGACCGCCCAGGAGCGCAAAGAAGAAAGAACATAAGAACGACGGAGCGGCAAGAAAAACAAATAATTGCTAATTTTATGCTCGAATAAATGAGCGCGAGTGAGCAGCAGACGAAGGATCAAAAAATGGGCGCCCCACCATTCGGGCGGCATAAATTAGTGCGAGCGAGACAGCCGACCCGAGACGTCACGCACTATCAAACGAGAAAATGATCAATGGGGGCACATGCAGCGCACTCACTCGCACTCGAAAGCAGAAGGGAGGGAGAGAACAGGCCGGCTAATATGGACCACCCAAGAGGATGACGACGAATTAAGGGCCACCCACGAAGATACACGCCGCTGCTCTCTCGCTCGTTTCTGCATGTGTGTTGGTGAGTATGGGGGTCCACGGAGAGAAATAAGATCATAATGAAGATTAAACTGGTAGGTATTTATCATTTGAAATATTCATCTCAAAGTTATATAAATGTTTAAATTGTGATCTATAAATATAAGTTAAGATCAGATAGAATTTATCTCAGGAAGAATACATTTTTATTATTTAATTTATTCAAGAATGCCCACATAGCAGAAAGTAGAAAATAAGAAATGATCGACAGCATTTTTTTGTGGCTTTCGTTTTTTTCAGTGCCTTAAAGTCCTTTGGAAATAATTTCACCGCATCGGCTACAAAGGGGAATTAGAGCACATAATTGAAATATGTACAACTTGAACATGTGCGCTGAAGTGGACTCAAACTAATATTAATAAAACAAAAGGGGCAGGAACAGGTCCCATAAAGTACACCCAAAAAAAAATGATCATAGAAAGTAAACTATTTCTACATTAAAAGTAAACTATTGAGTGTCAAAAATTTCTCGATACTCTGAGTATTAAACTAATGGACTTCGAAAGTATAAAAATGAAACTTTCGAAGTTGTCAAGTTTAAACTAACGAGTATACAGTTTATACTCACTCAGTGTACTGAAATTCAGGCTGCTAGTTTATTTTGTATACTATTTAGTATAATGCCAGTATAACTATTATACCCCCGTATTAAAGAGACAAAATTTAAAAAATGTTGTTTTGTACTTTTCATATATTATAAAACATATTTTTTACATTTTTATAAATTACTGAAGGTAATTTTTAATTTAACGAATAATATATATACAATACATGTACAAAATATGTACGTATGTATGCATATTTGGGCAAATGCCGTTTTACCGCTTATGTCGCTGATCATCTCCAGAGTGAACGCCGTCCAGATGAATAACAAATCTTGGTCGAGGACGCTGATATTGAAGTTAACATTGCGCTGGCCGCGGTCAGAAAAAATGCAAGCCAATTGCAAGATCTTTAGTTTCCCGGCATCTGGAGCGCAGTTCAAGGTGGTGTCAGTAAAAGGAAAAGAATTTACTCATTAGTTATGCACTAAGACACAATTTAAATGTACTTACATTTCAAATAAGCCCAAAATAAGCAAATATTAAAATTGTTTACAAGCAATTTTCACAAACAAACCTTAAACAGACCGCAGCGTCGTTTACAAAATACACTAATGTCAAACCATTAAAATACTAACGCGTCAAATATCATTAAAAAGCGGTAACACTTTTTCTGTTCGAAATGTCCAGGTTCCAAACCAGAGCATCCTGGCTTCACACCAGGAACGAAAACCGAAAACTTCGGTATAGAAATTAAACTCAGGACATAAACCTAACACTATTTAGTCTTAACTTAACACTATTGAGTCTGCTCCTTACATTATTTAGTTTTGAATTAATACTGACAGTTTGATACTAGCTGTAGTATACTTTTAATACAACGCTCATTAACTATAAACTTTCGGATTTTTTTTTGGGTGTAATCAATAAAATAGGAGGAAATACAAAAACAACATATGTACACACAAAAAAAAACTTGGTAAAATCAACTGTAATAATTGTCAAACAGGCCCCAACCAGCAAAATTGTCAATTCTACTAAGTAAAATAGTCATTTCACAGCAACAAAATACACACAATTAGCAAAGACACAAACCCAAAGCAAAAACAAAATACACGTAACTATTTTAATAGTTACGTAACTATCTTTGTTGGTCAATTTTACCAAGCAAATTTTTTTGTGTGTAGGTACATTAAATAGAAAGAGCGTAATGTTTTATATCAGCGGTCGGCAGCGCCCTATTAAGTGAGCATACGGTTTTGTTCTGCCGGCGCGCTGCTCGCACACGTATAACGTAGAACAGCGGTCTGCACACACACATCGATGAGCTGCCCAGTGCAAATTACTCACACAAATATAAAACAAAATGTCAACGTATGTGTGTGCCGACCGCTGTTTTATATCAACAGAACAGAGGTTTTATAAGATTTATTTTATTAAAAATACAATATACCCTTTTACTCTACGAGTAACGAGTGCTAAATACGATGATTTTAATCACAAGGATTGACGCTTTTTCAATATTTTTGAATAAAGGCGCGCAACATTAATGGTGATGCCAGATATTAAAATATTTTTAATTTGTGCTACGAACCAATCCCAAGTTTCCCACTACACGCTTAGTTAAGTTATCCACCATCAATTAGGGTTGCCCATTATTTTTCTTATTGTCTATTTTAAAAATGTTTGTTCTTAAAAAAAAATTGTCAGAAAATATATAAATTAAATACAGATATTTTAAACCCATTATTACAAAAATATAAAAAATATCTACAAAAATATTTATTTTTTCGAAAAGTATCGATACTTTGATATTTTTGTATAGATTTCCCATCTCTACTCGTGGGCCAGCGTGGTTGCAAAACCTTTGGTTCGACTTTATTCCTGGATTTGATTTGATAAATTCCCGTATCCCGCCCCAAGATGCCCCCGAAGAAGGCGCCGCCAGGTCCCAGCAAGAAGACGGAGCAGAAGAAGAAGGAGAAAGTCATTGAGGTAGGCCGAAAGTCCGGGACAGCCGCTGGGTGAAAGCCCTCTCCCCCCGCCGCCGGCTGATCAAGTGATGTGGAAACCCGGCGGGTAGCAATTCAATATGATCCACTGACCTGAACATCCCAATCCCATGTTATCCCCTCGGCAGGACAAGACCTTCGGGCTGAAGAACAAGAAGGGCAACAAGCAGCAGAAGTTCATCCAGCAGGTGCAGAAGCAGGTGCAGTCCGGCGGCCAGCATCCCCGCCAGGATGGCGACAAGCGCAAGGAGGAGAAGGACAAGAAGCTGGCCGAGCAGCGCGAGATGGCCCTGCTCTTCAAGCCGGTGCAGACGCAGAAGGTGGACAAGGGCACCGATCCCAAGTCGGTGGTCTGCGCCTTCTTCAAGCAGGGCCTCTGCACGAAGGGCGACAAGTGCAAGTTCTCCCACGATTTGTCGCTGGAGAACAAGGTCGAGAAGCGCTCCATTTACGTGGACATGCGCGACGAGGACGATCCGATGACCAACTGGGACGACGCCAAGCTCAAGGAGGTGGTCGAGAAGAAGAGCTCCGGCGAGAAGCAGCGTCCCACCACGGACATTGTGGGTTAAAGCCTGATTATAGCTCTTTGGCTTTCCAAACTAACTACTATCTCTCCCTTAGATCTGCAAGTTCTTCCTGGAGGCCGTGGAGAAGTCCAAGTACGGCTGGTTCTGGGAGTGCCCCAATGGCGGCAAGTGCATCTACCGGCACGCCCTGCCCGCCGGTTATGTGCTGAAGCGCGACAAGAAGAAGGAGGAGAAGGTCACGGAAATCTCGCTGGTCGATCTGATCGAGAAGGAGCGCGCCGCTTTGGGTCCCAACCAGACGCGCGTCACCCTGGAGTCCTTCCTCGCCTGGAAGAAGCGCAAGCTGTCCGAGAAGAAGGCCAAGCTGGTGGCTGAGGAGGAGCGCAAGAAGAACGACTTCAGCAAGGGCAAACAGTTCGGCATCTCGGGTCGCGAGATGTTCAGCTTCAATCCCGATTTGGTCGACGACGGGCCAATGGAGGAGGGCGATGCCGCCTTCGATATCTACAAGCGCGAGGACGACGACGACGAGAATGTGTTCGAGTTCAAGGAACTCGATCTGGCCGCCCTGTCGCTGGCCGCCAAGGAGGTGGACGGCTCGGGCACCATTGCCTCCACCAATCGACTGCTGGATCAGGCGGAGGAGGCAGCCAAAACCGCCGCAGCCGAGGAGGCAGCGGCCGGCGAGGATGGCCCCTCGTCGTCGTCTGCACCCGCCAACGATGCCGCCCCCATCAACAAGGATCTCTTTGTCGATCTGGCCGGCGAACTGGATGACTTGGATCTGGAGGACGAGGACGATGACTAGACCTCCGCCACTGTAGTTTGTTTGAAATGAGTTCATAAAATGATTTCTGCCTTTTAGCTACCCTCAATCAATAAAGTTGTGGCTTTCAATTGTTGCATTTCTGGAAAAAGACTCGTTGTATGCAGTTTATTAACTAGGTAAGGGTTACGAACATTGAAATTACTAAACAAAACAAACTAAATTAAAGGCTACGACTACCAAAAACCGGGCGGCAAGACTCCGACAGCCTGTGGAATCTGGCGCTCGCGCAGGAACTTGGCCAGGAGCATCTCCAGCCGCGTCTTGGGACCGCCTTCGTCGTAGGCCGCCAGCTGTGGCACGTAGATGTTTTGAATGTACAGCAGCAGCTTCACGAACTGCTTGCCGTACGTTCGCCACAGCTCGAAGCCAAGGGTCTGCAGGATCTCCATGATCAGAGTGGCGCTGATGTCGGGCAGTGGCTTCACATTGACCATGTGCGCCAGCCAGAGCCATCCCTCCTCCAGCTCGAAGCACGGTTCACTGCCGGCTGCCTTGCGTCCTTCGGTGATAATCACTGCGGCATACAGCCGAGCTATTCCCGACTGGCGCTTGAGGAACATATCGGGCTTCTCCAGCTCGTTCTTCTCGGTCAGCCGATAACCGATGCTCCTTAGGTACGCCTCCGCCGTCTGTCCCTGCTGCTGGGGCACCACGTAGGGCACCAGGAAGGGCGACTCCTTGTACATGTATGCCAGAAAGACCTTGCCGAAATCGGGCAGCAGCTTCCAGAAGGTGACGATCACCGAGGCGAAGGGAAAGGCCGCCTGCGGATTGCTCGAAATGGCCGTCTCCGTTTGGCTGACAAACTTCTTGGCCATCAGCAGCATGCAATAGTCGCGGGCGAGCGGATGATCGTTAATGGTGATTGTGGAACCGTTCATCACCTTTATTGGCTGGCCCGGCGAAGAAGCTGTACAGCTTGTCAAAGTTCTGAGCCAAATGCTGCGGACTTACGGCCGAGATGGCGTTGAGGGGCAGGTTGATGGCTCGCTGGCAGCCAGTGCGGTAAGCCTTGAGCGACTCGTCCGTTTGCAGCGGCTTCACTGCATCCACCTTGGCCTGGTACAGTGAGAGGATGTCGTTGTAGAACTTCAGTCTATCCGGATGCACACAATTGGCTGTGCTGGCTTGTGGCACTTGCTCCTGGGCTTTCGGCTCCGTTGGTGCGGGAACTTTGGCTGCCTCCGTCTCGGCCAGCTGCTGTTGCTGCTTCTCCCTGGCCTCCAACTCCTCCCTCTCCAGGCGCTGACGCTCCGCCTCCTCCGCCTGCTGCTTTTGCCGCTCCTCCTCGAGCTTCTTGGCCGCCTCCATTTGCAGCTGCTGCTGTATTTGTTCCGAGAACTCGGCCAGCTGCTTGATTATGTCCAGCTCCAGGACGTCCAGGCTGCGGCAGTACTCCTCCGCCTTGATAATGGAGCAGAGGAACTGGCTCTGCATCTCGCAGTTGCCCTTCTTTACGCTGCTCACGAGCTGTTCGAATTTCTGGCCGAGTTCCTTGAGCTGTGTGTTTTGCGTGGAGCACACCTGCACTGTTTCCTTGTCCAGTGAGAGGAGTATCCGGGCGATGCCCTCGTACTTATGGTTGAAGCGCCTCTGGCAGCGGGACACGCCCTCCAGGGCCAGTTTGTGGAGCTTCTGGTCGGTCTGCTGGCGCAGGATCAACTGTTCCCTCTGCTGGGCCTCCAGTTGGGCAGCTGTGAGCTGGTCGGCCTGCTGTATGAGCTGCATTTCCCTCCGTTCCCGCAGCGCCTTCTGCTGCAACAGATCGCGCTGGCGCTCCTCTTCCTTCTGCTGGGAATCCCGCGCGAGACGAAGGGCGTCCTGTTTGTCCTTAAGCGCTTTTAGCTGCTGGCGCACGCACCTTTTGCCCTCGGCGGCCAGCTCCCGTCGCACAATGCTGGCATTAATGGCCTGTGCGTCGGGAAAGCAGGAAATGCTGGGCTCCGAATCGATTGTAACAGGCAGGTGCAGTTCCTCCTTGGCAGCTGGCAGCTCCTCCGGCAGTGGGGATGCCTCTGGTGTGCTCCTACTGCCCGCCACCCAAACAGGGGCTCCCGATCCTCGCCCAGCGTCCTGCCCTTGCACTCCTTGGACGCCAGGGCAGCGTGATGCAGCGTCGCTTTGACCTTTAGCCAGTCGAGTGCCCGCATCATGTCATCCATGTTCTGCAGTGATCTTTAGCTTGTGTTTATATAAAAAACAATTTGTCTCTGAATTTCACTCCAATTTCTCAAAAAGATGCGCTAGGGCTGCCAACTCTTTTTCTTCTCTTTCGCATTCCGCGCGGGCAAGCAGAGTTCCGCTATTGTGAATGGTTCACGAAATATGGTCATACTTTGTTTTTGAAAAATATAAAAAATATTTCAACTAGAAAAATATTTGTAACCCTTTAATGCACGGACCGTAAATAAGCGATATTTGAGATTTTTATTATAAATGGCCTACTGAGATTTGTACAAGTTTTAATCAACAGTTTGACTGGTTTTTATGCACTTTATAGACATAAACAAATAAAAGTTTATTTGCTTTCCAGATTTTTTTACATGCATATACTTTGTGGACAAGAGTTAAAAGAACGTTATTTTTGACGTTTAAAACAAAATATCGCAGTAGTCTTTTTAAAATAAAAATCTTCCTGCTTTAATGTCACTTATCTTAACTAAAGGGATCTCCGTTTCCTTTTCCAAGATAAAATGAAGATCGCTGTTAAATTTACATTCATTTACTCTTCAATAAAGGGAAACATAATTCGCAGGACAAAGTTAACAAATACAATGGACACTTAGAAGAACTTGACGCCGTGGCTGCCGTCCATCTCGATTAGCTCGCACCGACCCTTCTCCTCCAGCAACCGGAGGGCGCTGAGCAGCACCGCCTCGTCCACGCCGTGAAAGTCCAGCTGGGCGGTACTCTCGCCGGCGGCGATCTCGTACAGCGTGCAGATGGTGTTCGTCTGGCCGGTTTCCTGCACCCAGTCGTAGACCATGTTGCCGTACTCCTCGAGGGTGAACCAGTAGACCTGCCACTCCTGGCGGCGCTTGTCCAGCGGATTCGCATGCCCCGTCTGCTCCAGTTCGGCCAGAATGGCCAGGACGAGCTCCGGCGAGAGGCGGCGCTTCAAAGATTCGTTGTGGAACAGCGGGGAGTTCTGGTCCCCAATGCTGAGCGTAAACCTATTCGTGTGCCTGAGGTATTTGAGAAACAGATCTGTCCAGACCTTCAGCTGCTGCTGTCTGGTTTCTTCGTGGGGCTGTAATCTACAAGACCTGCGATTATCCAACTGCTGGTTAATATTCTACTTGGTACTCACGTGAAGAAGGGGGGGAAAGTGTACTCCCAGGGCCATTGGAAATCCGTCATTTTGACTACGAAATGCACATTTGTTTTGTCAATAAAGACTATTACTCATATACAAAAATCGTATTTTTTCAGAGTGACCGCGTTATTAGGAGTCAGTCAGCTGTGTTTGTTGACAATCGAAAAGTAAACAAACCAAAAGTAAGAAGTTAATTTTAAGTTGTTTATTTAACATAGGGAAAGAAACTTTGGGGTTTATTTATTTGAATTCATATATTATTGTCTGAATTGGTTTCCCGATTTCTTCCTTATCGAACTTCACCTTCAGGAAGTTGGCAACGCGATTTAATTTTCTGGCTATAAAACGCTAGTTTAGCTTTTTTACGAGTGGACAGCCCTAAATACACCTCTGATGGTTAGGCATATTTTTGGTCACCGTAAAAGGTCACACTGCTGACGTCACTTTAATTTTTTACTTCGCTCGAGCAAAATCGTTATATTTTTCGTGGAGATGTGCACTTATCTCTCACTTTCTAGAACCACGTGTTGTCCTATGCACGCTCAACTGCCCATTTTTCAGGGTAATTGAGTGCTATTTTTAAGGACATATAAAGAACCCACAGACAATCTTACCAAATGCCTGACTTTTTCATTAGTTTTGCATTTCATTTAAATTGTCAAACAAATAAAAAGATATTTTCCATTCCATTTGATAATACTTTGTGTGTCCTATGCACGCTCAATTGCCCCCTTTTCAAGGGTAATTGAGTGCTATTTTTAAGGACATATAGAAAACCCACGGACAATCTTACCAAATGCCTGACTATTTCATTGGTTTTGCATTTCATTTAAATTGTCAAACAGTTTAAAAGAATAAAGATTTTTCCCCATTTAATACAATTTTGTTTTGTCCTATGCACGCTCACTTGCCCATTTTTCAGGGCAATTGAGTGCTATTTTTAAGGACATATAGAAATTCCATCAACAATCATACCACATGCTTTGCTGATTTTGTGGCTTTGCATTTTATTTAAATTGTTGAACAAATACATATTAAATTATTAAAGTTCTAAGCGCTTCAGCAACTTTTTAACGGTGGCAATATTTACAAAAATGCTTCTGTTATGCAAGAATCGCAAGAAAAATTAGGTAGTATTTAATAACGTGTTGGCTCACATCTTTGGATAAAGTCTCCGCGTTTTGAGGTACTTCCACAGTTTAAATTATTAAATTAACAACTATGTTCGAGTGTAACCTTTTGCTAAGAATTGTGGCATTTCACATTTCTTTATGAAAAAATAAAAAAATTTCGGCCTCGACTCTGTAGTCTATTCCAGTGCATACAGTAAAAAATTTCAGAAAATTAATAAAATAAAATTTGATATACAAAATTATTTATCAAAATATATATTTTTTTGAGTTGGTTTATTATATCTTTTGAATCAAGGGTAATTTTAATATAATTCAACTACGGTACTATAGGTAACAACAAATCGACCAACTTTTCTAATATATAAATTTGTCTGTAAAGCCCTTAGAATTATTTAGAATTTCGAATTATTTTTTGTTTCATTAAAGTTAATACATTCTAGAATTATTACTGCCCCATATAAACCCTTTCAAATGATTTCAGTTGATATAAACGTAATACAAATTTAGCTTTACTTAACTCCTCCCCTATAATTATAGTCAATCATTCCTGAGCTGAGAACATAAAAACCATAAAAAAATAGCAATATAAAAAGATATACAAAAATAGTTTGTTTATAGGAAATTTATTTTCTTTGAAATGGTATTAAGACTAGTTGCACATTTGGCCTACTTAAGGGCCTGGGAAGCCTCGATCAGTCGCTGGAGGTCGTCGTTCTTGGTCAGTGCGTTCTGGACGGCCTTGAGCACCTGGGAGTTCATGGCCTGGGTTTGTTCCGGGCTCAGTGCCAGGGTGCTCAACCGCTTGGCCAGCTCCGCCAGCTTGGGTTGCCGCTCCAGGAAGCTTTCTACGACCTCTAGCGGGATATTGGCCATTTTGGCGATCTGCTGGACGTGTGGAGGCAAGGATGAGTATGTGACCGCCACCGCTTCCTCGTGCCGTTTTGGGCGTATTGAGATGTGGCTTGGGTGCCGGTGTGCTGCTGCTGCGGGGCACTTCAATCGGCTTGATGGTGGGCAAAGCCACTGGTCTTAACGGAATGGGATAGTGATAGGGCAGCGGTTGCCTGACCAAGATGGGGCGCATAGGTTGCTTCGTACTCCTCGCTAGAGGAGCCACAAAAACGGGTTGGAACGCACCGGTTGGCGGAGCGATAAACGGAGGAGATGGCGTGGTAATGGCCTGACCTGACCACGGATTGTACTGCTCCATAAGGTCACCGATGCGCTTCATTAGGCTTACTTCAGAACTGGGAGCTGCGGTCGTTGGCTTCTCCTGAGGCATCTCAAAATAGCTGGCATTGTCCATGGTATTGTCATCTTCGTCATCGTCATCAGCCGCCTCCTTGACCTCCGCCACATTCTCCTCCTCCGCCGCCTCCTCGAAGTTCAATGTGTCCAGATACTGTTTCATCAGCGCCAGACCTTCTTCAGAACCGGCCAAATTGCGTACATAATCGATGGTTTCCCTCACGTTATCCGTGCCAATCATTGCGCCCAGCTCCTCAATGCTGGGTATATTTTTCAGGCCCAGCTTGTTGTGAGCTATATCCAGAAGATCAGCTGGATAGTCAGAACTTGGAGCCTCTGTGGTGGTCGTAGTTGTCGTAGGTACATTAGGTTTAATAAGTTTATAAACCGGCATGTTGAAGTACAAGGCATTCTGTAGTTTGGAGTCCAGCCTGGGTGGAAATTTTCTATTGATGTCCACTATAATAGCACTGTCCTGGCCGTAGAACAGTGGACGCATTGCCACTCTAGCGTGGATGCACTGCATCATGGCCAACGACCAGAGAAAACGCATAAACACGCCAATCATTCCGTTCACTTCAAATGTTTAAGGACAACTAACCAACAGAGCTCGAAAATCTTTCGAAATATAAATGCATCTCGAGCTAGAATCTTGTATTTCTCTGAATTCCTGGGTGAGCGCTACCTGCTGGGCCATAGAAAAACTCGATTTTCCATTGAATTTCCCACCTACGCGACGAACAGGAATGTGATTACCCTTCGCTACCTGGATTTTGTTGACAAAAGAAATGGTTTTTCTCGAGGGTTTCACATTTCGAAGGGGATCGAAAGCGGGGAAAATGAAAGAAATCAGAAGGAGGCCTACACAAACAGGATTACTTGAGGTTTCTACGACCCAAACGAAAACTCCGCTTCATTTCAACAAACTAACACATGTTTTATTATCGTAATTAAACCTTAAAGTGGAACACTCGATGGCAACGCGTGTGGTACAAATTGTGGTCATCGAATCCAGTCACAGATCTCTTAGAAACTAGGAGGAATTTTAAATTCGCAAGCGCTGCCCGAAGGATGCATTTGAGGATAGGCTGTATTTACACGGGGTTTACGTACATGAATTTTGCAGTGGAAAACAAATTGCAAATAACCGAGAGCGAGGCCATGTAAATTGGAGGTTCCTTCTTGGGGGAATTCGGGGGGGACTGGGAATTTCGCACGCCGCTGGGCAGCCGCTTGGCTATCAACACTTGGACACGCCCACCAAGGCGGGCCGTATGCAACGCTCATGCAGTTTGTAGCCCAGTTTGGTCACCTCCACCACGGTGTTGGCCTCGACGGTCTTGTCCTCCTTCTGGAACAGAGCCTCGTGCTGGTTGGGGTCGAACTTCTGGTTGATGGGATCCAGGGGTTCCAGGCCATGTCGCTTGAACACTTGCAGCAGCGAGGCGCGAGTCATGGTGAGGCCCTCGTACAGGTTCTTCAAGTCAGCGTTGCCGCTGAGCTGTAAACAAGTTGGGGATTAATAAAGGGTGTCTTTGGAATGGTGCTAAAATCTATCTAGATTCTGAATCTGAATGAAATTTGAGGAATATTATTAACCCCATTAACTTTATATTATACATTGCTTGGTGTAATTTAAGTGAAAAGGTAAACAAAACTCATTCTATAATAGTATAATATACTTTTAAATAGATTGTGGGAAAGTGAAAACGATTTGTATACATCTTTCGGAAATGTTTGCGTAAATTCATTTTACTATAATGATATGTACATTAGAGGTTTCTATTTGTATGGTATCTTTAATTTAACTTTAAACTGACTGATTGACCAACGTATTAATTCATAAGTTTCTAAAACCTAGAACGCTAAGATATAATAATAATAAAATATACAGGGAATTCTAATTGGGAAGATGGGAACCACTTTTGACTTTCGAAATTGTCTTAAATATGATGTATACAAATCCAAAGGTTAAAAAGACTAAGAATGCAGTTGAGAAAAATATTCAGATCTTTAAGTAAGAATTTCTAGAAATGGGAATAGGTTATCTCAACCCTCCAAGGCCTTACAAAATTAGTGTTTCTCTAAGAAAATCCTGAATTAAAAGCTGTACCTTATCCTTGGGCACCGCCTGCGTGGCATGGCCCAGGGTGTCCGCCACTTCGAGCAGGTCCTTGCAGAAGCTCTGGATGCCGAAGATCTTGGCGTCGCTGATCTGCTTGTTCAGTCGGTTGCGCATGTTCTCGCTGTCGGCGAGGGACCGCTTGTACTTGTCCAGCAGCTCGGCGTTCTGTTCCTTGGCGGCGGCCAGATCCTTGGTGAGCTTCTCCACTTCTGGCGAGGCTGCGGGCGTTTTCTGCTCCGCCGCTCCTGCCGCCGCCTCTTCCGGCTGCTTTTCTGTGCTGTACAGCCGCTGATGGGACACACGAAGGGCGCTGTGGAGGGGGTGGGTGGGCAATGTTAGAATTACGTGCAATTGCCGACAAGCGTGCGGCCTCATTACGTCACAGAAAAGAGGAAGCAATGCGGATGGATTTACCTCAGGTTCTGGGCCGTGACCGATGACCTCAGCTGGACGAGACGCCGGCCAAACATCTGCAGGGGAAGTGCCGCCTTCGCTGCCATTGTGGTTCGCTTTTTTATTTATACGTTTACACGTTAAATAAACTTAATTCGTTTTTGACGTAAAATCGTCGGCTGTAGAGATGGAACCACAATCGATGCTTGTTCGATGCTATCGATACTGTCATCGATAATTTTTAACAGAGTGATTAACAGCGAATTTACAGCATTTCAATGTCAAAAACTAGTACAGATAAGAAACAAGTAAAATAATAACACTTTGTTACATAAAAAATGTATCATAAACAAAAGATAATTACTCTTTAAGGACTTTTACTAATTTGCCAAAAAGTATTCTCCATAAAATAGATAAAATACGGGTGTAAAACATTAGAAAGTTCTGTTTATTTGTCATTTATATTATAGAGTATAATTTTGGGCAATTGGTAAAAGTCCTTAAAGAGCACTTTTCCTTTGTTTATGGTTATGTCGCAATTCAATTATTTCTCCTTTAAAAACCTCTAATATTTATTTTGAGTTTGGAGTTCGAAAAATAAAGAGTGTCCCTTTTAAAAAATTTTAACAGCAATACAAACCATGAATCCGTTTAACTGATATACCCCAATTTCAGCGTTTTTTGAACTTTGAGGTCCTTCTGCTAAGTATCCTGGCGTCAGGGAACTTTTTGGAAAACGCAGTTTAACTTGGGATTTCGTAACGAATTCAAGTATATAATATCCATCAAGGTAAATTTAAAAATTAAGTGTAATTAACGAAATAATACAATTTTACTAAAATTTTTAAATTGTATCAGCTACGTGTAAAATTTCAAATCTCTCGCAGTAACCAAATATTTACAATTTAACTCTTTTCTCTATATTTTCCTGTTTTTACTATTTAATACATTTTAAATCCGGACCTTGCAAATTTTTAGACGCAAAAGCAACAGAAGAAGTGCAAATGAATAACCCGGAAGTCACAAGTGTACTGAGAATAGCGACGGTAAAGTGTTGGATTCCTACTGATGGAGATGGAGTAAAACTGCCCCAAAAGATTTAACCTTGGTCATAAATTGAATTTTAAAATAGCAAAATATGTCTTATATAAAATGGACAAACGGAATATTTAAATGAAAACCAGTGTATCAAACAAATTCGCAGGTCCACTTAAAAATCCAAGCATCGGTGTTAATGCAAAAATGGGCCTATTTTCTTGGCGCTACCTTCGGACATATATTATTAAGAACGCGCCGCCGGCTATTAATCCACGCATAGCTTATAAATCGGTCTCAGCCCGATCGACCACGCCCCGGGGCCGTCAAAATATGGACCGCTCGAAAAAGTTGCTCTGGAAATGTAAATATCGGGAGGCTCTTAATGAATTCAAAGTACGAGTACGAGTGGGGCGGGCACAGCAGCCAGGTATTACATATGCGCATGCATTGTATATATTTTGGAAAACGAAGCTCGAAAAGGCATTTAGTTGTATCTCGCCACCGGAACAACGAGGTTCTCGTCGAATCTAAGCTTTATCTTACAAAGATGCGTGAGGAGGATTTGCAATTGGCCCGCCAAATGGTGGCAAATAGTTCGGTGTCCAGTTCCTTGGAGGAGGAGAACGATGGAGCCACAGGAACATCGCCGGGGAACTCACCCAAACCGCTGAGAAGAGTCCTGGATTTGAGCGAGAGGCGTAAGCAATTTAGGTGAGTTTTAAAATCTTCATGTTTTAAATATAAAAACGAAAAGTTTCAACTTTGCTATACAAATGTAAGAAAACTTAAAAAAAGAAAGAATTAACTGATATGATATTTGTATAAAGAATGTTTACTAACTATAAAAAATATTATTTTTTTTTACAATTTCATCAGTTGCTCATATCTAATATTTGTATATTGTTTTTAAGTGGTTCTAAAAATAAACAGCAAACCTTTTGTTTGTGATGTTAAAGGCACTTACAAATCACGTACAATTTAGGCTGAAAATAAACATTGTTTTCACGTGCCTGACTAATTTGCAATGCCAAAAGCATTCCTTTGTCAAAAGTAAATATGAATGACGAACGCTGTTGTGAGTGACGATGGTGTTTGCGGGTTTTCAAAGTGCGCGCCTTACTCTCACGATAGACCAAAACATCGATACTATCGATGATAACCTGTCAGTAAGACAGTTCTAGCTGGCTGCTACAACACTTTGGGCAGTTTTTTTGCATTATTAAAAATCGGTTAATATCTGCGCGAAGTGCTGCATAAAATATAACAACAAGAGAGCCGGATTCCTGCTAAAGGGGTACAGATGGTGACCCTGATCTTTCCGGGAACCTAGAGCAGACATAGAAAGATGCCCGCGCCGGTGGACAGCAACACCGCCGATAACCAGGCATTTTTCTGCACCGAAAGGGACGCCGCTGCAGATGGAGGGCATCTGTTGCATGCCCCAGGAACGGCGGATGGGGCAACTGCGTCCACCTCGGCTCCGGGATTGGGAGACGGCCTCAGCAGCTGGTGGTGGTAGGTCATAATCACCTGCCCGAATTTGTAATCATGCAGTTTTGCATACATATGTATGTACACACATCTCTTATCGTCCTCCCATCCCTCATGCAACTACAGTGATGGATACATGAATAGGTCTAGGTTGATTTTAAATGATTGTTTTTATTTAATTTATTTTGTAATGTGATTTGATTTATTTCTTAATTAGTCAATTATAAGTTAAATGAAAATTGGAAACTTGAATTACATTTCAAATAGTTGTACTAAAAATTTGTTTGATGAAACTAGATATCATAACAAAATTTTCCATCAAACGATACAAAATTTAAATGATAAGAGGCATTATTTTAAGGATAGATACACTCCCTATAACGACTTTCTTATCAAAGTTGAATGTATTATTGACTAATCAATTTATACGAAAGAAATTGAAAAGCGATTTTGGTCTATAAATGGATCCATGAACTGCTCCATTTTTGACGAATCAATTCGTTGTGATATCTTCGATATTATCAATTGAACTGTTAATTGACCGCCAAGGCCTCTGCGCCTGCGCTCTGGCATAGCCATATGGTTCTGGGAACGGGGAACTGTTGATGGCGGAGAGTAAAAAGCCCAGTTCGTTTCGGACCAACCTTGTCAGCTCGGCTGCTCAGTTGCTGCTCGCACACGCGATCGCCCGGTTGACACTTTCAGGGCCCTCGGTCGTTTTATTGCCTCCAATTTTCCGGCCAGCTGTGCGTAGTAATCAAGCGGAAACTCGGTGGAAAATATACCCGTCTTTTACCAAAAGTCAAAGTCAACACAAAAGAGACATTTTCCCTACGCTCGCCACCAGCTTAATGCATTTCTAATTACCAGTTTTGTCCCCCTTGCGCTGATAAAACACTTTCTCTTTTACGGCTGGCACATTTTTGGGCCCATATTTTGTTGGCTCATCGATGAAAAGTGCGTGGGCGTGTTATTTTTGAAACGAACAATTTGTTGTGAAAACAAAACTAACCTTGGTCCCTTTTTCGCCGTCCAAAACAATGCGGTCTGACTGCATTCCAAAAAATCAAAGAGTACTAAACTGCAGTCCAAAGATATATTTTGACTAGTTTGAAAGCGATTTTGGAGACCGAAAATGGCCTGCCTGTCGGACATTGATTTGGCCACCTTGCACGAGAATCGCTTGGACCAGCGGTGGCACTGCGGATTGCCCAACAGCGAGCATATATACCATCCGCACCAGGAGGGATTCAGTCCCATGACGCGACTCTGTCTGGAGCGGAATATGCAGAAGATGGTGCAGCGCGACCTCAACGGCAACTGTCTGGAACGGGGACGGTCCCGAGATAATCGAGATAATGCCAATGGATTGGCGTCAGGTGGGAAACGCAGACGATCCGGCACCTGGCCGTAAGTGGACAAGCAGCTGAGAATGTTCTCCTAGCGATAAGATTGCATGCGAAAAGCTGGAATTTGTAAGCCAAATCAGTGGCACGATGGCGCAATAGGGTGCACAGGAAAAAATGTGGTCAGCAGACATGGTTTCTATTCAATTCTGAATGTTTTTTAAAGGGAAATCTGAGAATTCAAGCCAATTTATTAATAAGTTGTTTCTGAGAGACTATAAATTTGATTTGTTCCTGGTAAGACTTTTACTTTTTTCTCAGTGTGTTTACGAATGCAAGCAGGAAGGGGAATCTTCGATGCAGTTCTCTTGAATCCTATCACTTAATTTTCTCTTCATTTCTCTATGCTTTTTTTGTCGCCATTTGCATAAGGTTGATTTACAGTTGGTTTGATTTAGTCTGCGACTTGAAAAGGTAGTGATAGCCAGACAGATTTTTCAAAACCCTTAAATAAGTAAAAAAAAATTAAGAAATGTTTCCCTTGCGACCTGAGCAGGAGCAGGCGGTTGCCTCGTTTCCGCTTCATAGTTCCTTGAGTATCGAAGAGTTCAATAATGTCAAGTGGGAGGATATAAACGATTGCAATAACAACTGCATTCAGGTGGAGCCAGCTTTAAGGCCGCAAACCAAGCGTCATTTACTAAGGTCTTGAAAGAGTTACTCAACATTCCCTATCCATATTAATTGTTCTCGTTTCTCGCACTCTTTTCAGGCGCACTCGAAGTTTGAATGCCCCCTCGCCTGTCCAACAATTCGGACCATGTGGACGCATAATGAAGAACTCGGCAATGGTGATGCAGATCCAGGATCCGGCCAGTCAGCGTTTGACCTGGTACAAGCCTCCACTCACCGTTCTGGTGATCAAGAAGGTCAGCGACGCCTCGGTGCTGGCGCCGTTTGTCCAACTCGTGGACTGGCTGCTGCAGGAGAAGAACATGGTGGTCTGGGTGGAGTCGGCTGTCTTGGAAGATGCTCAGCTCAACGAAAATGTTCGGTTCAAGGTTATACGCGATAAGCTGGTCACTTTCAAGTAAGTCTGTTCTTGTGAAAACTGGTGAAATAGATTAGTAACTTAAACTTTTATCCCTTAGAGATGGCCGCGATGACCTGACCGACCGTATCGACTTCATAGTCTGTCTTGGAGGCGATGGCACTCTGCTGTATGCCTCCCTGCTCTTCCAGCAATCGGTTCCCCCGGTCATGGCCTTCCATTTGGGCTCGCTGGGCTTCCTGACGCCCTTCCGCTTCGACAACTTCCAGGAGCAGCTCACAAGTGTCCTCGAGGGACACGCTGCTCTGACTCTCCGCAGTCGTCTACGCTGTGTGATGCATCGCAGGAGCGATAGAAAGCACGAGGAGAAGACCCAGGAGGTCGATCCGGATGGAGATGCCCGACCAGCGGCCAACAGCATCCTGGTACTCAACGAAGTGGTGATTGATCGAGGTCCCTCGCCGTACCTAAGCAATATCGATTTGTTCCTGGACGGCAAGTACATAACGTCGGTGCAGGGTGATGGCCTGATTGTGTCTACGCCCACGGGAAGCACGGCATATGCGGCAGCAGCCGGTGCCTCCATGATCCATCCCTCCGTGCCGGCCATAATGGTGACTCCCATTTGCCCGCACTCGCTGAGCTTCCGGCCCATTGTGGTGCCAGCAGGAGTGGAGCTGAAGGTGGGTTGCAAACATACACACAAGCAGATCCCCTGGTAACATGAACATACCTTTCAGATATCAGTTTCCCCCGAAAGTCGCAACACCTCGTGGGTCAGCTTCGATGGACGCAACAGGCAGGAGCTCTTCCACGGCGACAGCCTCCGCGTGACCACCTCTATTTATCCCGTGCCCTGCATCTGCGCCCAGGATCAGATATCCGACTGGTTCGCCTCTCTCGCCGACGGACTGCACTGGAATGTGCGCAAGCGTCAGAAGTGCCTGGACGAGCTGTCGGATCTCACCGCTTCCGGATCCGAGGATACGCTGGACGAGATCGAGAATATGAAATTGTATGATGTGTAGTGCGTAAGTCCCATTTGCTAATCGTAACTGTAGGTTACTGTAGGCTTTCAGATGTAGTCTTAGTTATCGGCCCTTTATTTAGTGTGTAATTTTTTAGTATTTTGCAAGTATCTGTTTCGAACAAATTGATTATGCACATTTCGTCAAATGTAAAAGAAAAGTTTTATAGTTTTTACTCTTTGTAATCAATATGCTCTTAGAAAGGGTATATAATATTAAGCAATACTGAAATATTGTACATTTCTGCTAGATAAATATAAATGCTGTTAGTAAAACCTAATAAATTGTTTTTAAAACGATTTCTGAATCATTGAAAATTTGTCATCAAATTTAAATAAATTTATAATATTAATTATTGTAAATCAAACTTGTACAGGCAAACGGATGGAATGTTTTATTACCTTTGACCAAATGTAGCTTTAACATTACGTTCTGCTGTAGATTAATACTGATTGCAAACTGATTGAAATGTGTTCTCCAACTTTGCCTTGTATATTTCACATTAGTCTAGTGCAAGCACACCTTGCAATATAGATTACTTAGACTGGTTTTAGAGCGCCTCTCCCAGGCCACTTGTTGCATGTTGCTCACCTCGCGGCTGTCTTTCGATTGGATTGGATTGGGGCTTCACGTGGTTGCCACGCACTTGGGCCTGTCAAAAAAATTAGTTTGCATCGATTTGGGTGCGAATCGAAAGTGTAGCTATAGCCGAAACTAAGGCTTTATGTTTGCCAGATGTTTGCGCCCTCAGGCGTACAAGCAATGTTCATTACACGGCTAAATCTAAAATCTTGTGCCATTGTTCGTTCGCTCGATCGTGTTTTTGCCTTTTTTGCCCGCCGAATTCAAGGTGTGCGCCGTTTTTTGCGTGTGCGTGCGACAGGTGTGCGGTGCGTGCCTATCTGGTCGTGTGAATTGCATAAAATCTCGCTGTAGTTGATGCCGAGCGTTGCCAGCGAACGGTTGTGATTTAATTGTGCTTAATTGCGTTGGGAAGTGAACATATTCGAAATGAATCCCGAAGATATGCAGCGGGCGCGGGAAATTGTCGATGGAGAGGCCTCAACGCCTGGAAGTTCGCCAGCCCCGCTGAGAAAGCCGCTGCCCATTACTTTGCTGGAAAAACGCACTCAGTTTCGGTGAGTTAGGAGTAGATGTCCTTGAACTTCCATTTAACTTTGTAGAATTTTTAAATTTGATCTGGGTTCTGTTAATCCTTAATATTCAAAAAAATATACGCAAAATATTTTATTTAAAGGAACTTTTGACTGAATCTTTAAATCTAAGAATATCTGAATTGTGAATTTTTTTAAATATTGGGTTAACAAGTTATAACTCGTTAATTGTACTATGTATTTTGTAAATATAAGGCAAATGTTCCCTTATATTATTATTAAAATGTTAAAAAACTGTAAAGTGGCACAGTATTCGCCTTTTTATAAGCATCAGCATATATTTAATTTTCGCGCCTTAGTGTGACCGCACACCAGCTTTTGTGCCCCTTTTTTCCGTCCAGTGACTGCGGTATTTTCCCCTTTGCGCGCGACGGTATATTCACTCTGACGTGAAATGGTGCAAGTAAAAAACAAATAACATGGACCCGTTGGAACTGGCGTGCTCGAAATCGCAAATCAGCAGCTAGTAAGCGCTGGATTAAAACCGGGAAGTTGCCAATTAGCAGTGGGAGTCGCTGGCCAGTGCATCGCGTTAGTGGGTCAAGTCGAGGCCAACACAACACTCACACTTGCGCGCACACACAGGTGCGCAGGCACACGAAAACACACACAGACAAGGGACCAGTCCAACACAATGACGTCCTCCTACAACAACATCCCGGTCAACCCAACAACCACCCCCTCGCCCGCCCAAACGGTTCCGAAGGCCACCGGCTCCTCCGTGGGGTCCTCCTCGAATTCCAATGGATCGTACTACGACGACCACGACAATCAGCTGCTCCATGTGAACAGCGGGCGACAGGGAAGCGCTGCAGCATCCTCGGCACCGGGACCTGGCATAAATAACGGCACCGCCAGCGATGACCTCCAGATGCGGTGGTGGTGGTAAGTCGGCTGCACAGTGGGGCCAACACTTATAATAGATGAATCATACATGAGAAAGTTCCCTAAATTGGCACACTCATACTTTGTAAAAAAAAACAATTCTCAATTTTGTTAGGAATGTTTTAAAAATTAATTGATTATAAATCAATTAGAAATCTTCCTAAAAGTTGTTCATATTTTTGGTTATAAAAACGATTCTATGTGGGATATCTTTATTTACATATATGAAAAAAGTAGATTCAATTGCTTTTATGTGATTGAAATATATATTTCTTTTTAATTCCTTTCTAAAAAAAAGTCCAGTACTTACAAAAGTTGGGCTTACCACCCAATTATAAAACATTGATAGATTTCGGTAAGACTCCGTCGAGTAATTAATCTTTAAATCTTTAAGAAATTAATTTTTTTTCGAATCAAATATTTAAAATAAAAAAGTTAATTAACCTTTACCAGATTTAAGGGGATTTTTGCTGACACTTGCCGACAGCTAAGTTAATTTCGTTTTCAGGGGTTCTAAGTTATTTTCAAATTATTTAAGCGAAATTTCAACCTATTAATTTAATCATTTTCAGTTATTTTCCAACTGCTCCCTATTCAAAGCTGGCAGCACTGTTGCGTAAAACAAAGGAAATGTTATAATATAGCTGGCAATCAATTAGAGCCAGGCCGGAAAATGCTTGGCTCACAAGTGGCCCACACATGTTGTATTTATATTTTCTAGTGAAATTGTAACTACTGTTAACACGTGTGACTAATGTGTGACATGTGCCAGATGTAGGCAACAGAAATCGATTTCCTTCGCTGAATTGCAATTTTTACATCACGTGTAATTTCATTAATAAGAGCAATTTATTTGAAAAGTTTTTAAAGACTTCGATGGGTTATTCAAATCCGTCTTAATGACGCTGTAAATATATTTTTAGTTTAAATCAACTGTTAGGCATCTAATTCGGTTTTTTTTATAGCTCTGTTAGTTGATTTATTGCTTTATGCTTGGTTATTGGGCTGATTCCGTTCATCAATCATGCTTTTTAGGAATTAAATATCAGCAATTAAACAGCCACTGGCCGCTCATTACATTTACATAACAGAGAGACAGAGAGCACCTGTTGCCTTCATATTTCTCTTCGATCGCGACGCGTGGCTTCGCTCAGCTGTTTTTTACCAGCGATGTCCGGAGAAAACCCGCCAAGCGATCGCCGTTCATTGTTTACAATCGCTCGGCTCGCGTACTTTTATTTTCGAATCGGAATCGCGCACAAATCGTCCAATTTAATCACATTTTTGGCGTCCCAGCTCAGTTATCGCATGTTCACCGGACAGCACAGTCGTGTTCGCTCTCTGTCGCACCTTTAACTCACCTGTACCGCCGTCGATCGTCGATTGTCGAGCGGTTTTCGTTTCGAGTCGGTCGTTTACCTGCTGCTTACCGCCGATCGCTGCTGGTCAGTTTCAACTTTAAAGCTTCGCCTTGGCTCGCGCTTGTGCTAAAAAGAAAATAAAACAGATTATATAACGTGTAATTAGAGTACTTTGTTGCCAGCCACTGGCTAACATTTTCTAGCGCAGACATGACTTGGCATTTCTGGGGTCTGAGCCCCAGCCCACTTTCGATTTCCTTCTATGGTCAGTCAGCTGGCTATCCGTCAATCCGTCAATCTATTGCCTCGAACATCGATAGGACTCTTCTAGAGGTTTCTCTACTAAAACTAACTTCTCAAGAATTTAAGGTCAACGTTTTATAAATCATAACTTTTATAAATCTGGTTTTCTGAAACTACAGGTTTATCTCCCTAATTTGCATAAATTAGTGTCGTTAAGTGCAACTATGTACAGTGAATTGCAGTAATTTATAAAAGTGCAATTGTACTTTCAAGTTAATTCATTAATTCTATTTTCTTGTAAAGTTTCATCCCATTGTTGAAACTAGAACTCCATACCTTTTATAGAATAGCTTTGACTCACTTAAAAAACAATATTTGAGGAGTGTTGCTAGCTGTTAAAGATAAATTAACAAGGGGTTAATTGTTTATGTAAACTAATTTGCGTGTGTGCTTTGTGGTACAAAGTTTGTACACACAACTGAAAGTCCTCAAATGTTTATAGTAGTCAGCTTTAAAATTAAATTTAAATCAGCTTATTGCTTTTGGGTAAGGAAATCATGGACCAACTTAAATACCTAGCCATCTGGAAAAAGCTGTTTGAATTTAAGTACAAAGTCAGAGAGCTGTTTTTTTTATTTTACCTACTAAAAGTTGTGATCTATTCTAATGAGTAAAATTTAATAACAAACAAAGGTTGCACAAGTACTGTACGAGTTCAAATATAATACCTGCAGTTGCAACTTTAATACCTATGTACGAATTGTTGACGAAAGGCGTCATTTGAATTATATCATGGAAACGCTAGCTGACATGTAGGCACGTTGTGGCCAGGTGGCCCTGCTGATCCGTAGGTGCAGTTCTCTTGTCCACTTTCCGATCCATTCAATGATAATCACTAAACTTAGTTGATGCCACTGCGCATTTCGCTGTTAAGCTCGTCCGTTTATTGATTAATTAATTTGTGCCTGTCGCTTATTTATTTCAATTTTCTTTGTGCCCATAAGTCATTTATAATTCGCTTTATGTTCTCGTCTATTGTCATAGTCCGATTACTACGGATGTAACCGGCGACTGCGAGGGGGTGGTGGATTTTGCCTTCCTTTGTTTATATTACAGAAACATTTTCAATGACTTGTATGCACTTACTTGTTGCTTCCTGATCTGGGTAAAAATAGAAGACAGGGAAGATTTTGGATCACGCGATGCAATGATTTTTGTTATGCAATACATTCAATTAGAATTCCAAATGGGAGAGATCACTCAATTGTAACGAGTGCTAAAACCAATTATATTTTCGCGAGAAGGGGTTGAACAATTTATATTATATTTGTGAAGTAGAAAAATATATTCCTCTAAATAATACAGTTTATATTATACAAAATTGGAATTATCAATATGACTTCTTCTTTAACGATAAATGTTAAACTTATCAGAGTTCTTGCTTGTACTTCAAATGAATTTTTGCAATTCCACAAAGACCTCTAAAAGTACTTCCCCTTTCTGTTAAGTTGCCCACCTTATCAGCCACTCAACAGAATCTTCATGTGACCTCTGTTAATGAACTGTTGATTGGGCACTTTCGGAAAGAAACCGAAATGATTGAGATCTTCAAGCTCATTACACACGCTGGTCACGA